CTTTAGAATTAGGGGACCTAAATWTTTGAGKTAGTGCTTTAGAATTAGGGGACCTAAATATTTGAGTTGGTGCTTTAGGGCTAGTGGAACTAATTTTCAGATTAGTGCTGCCCACCACTGACTGAACGGTTAACAATGTTTTTCTGAAAAGTTAGAAATAAACTTAGATTTAGCCATGGGCAGATCATTTTCATCTGATTTAGCAAACAGTTTTAATTGTGGTTTATTTGGTTTAACTTTGTGCCATATGTTATAAACAAACTTTTATCTAATCTTAATTTGAAARCTCTGGTCAGTATGTTGTATTGAAGCTCCTTGTATTTCAAACGTTATGAGACTATTGTTACAAATCAACTGTGCAAGTATTTGAACAGAAATAATCTGAGGAGTTTCAGTCAAGGTTTAGAGCTCATCACAGCACAGGGCAACACTAATAAAACTAGGCATGGGTTTTTATGATGTAAAAACAAGTGTGCATTGCCATGTAGCATGTCACTGCAGCATGGCTTTACCTGCAGCAATGGACTTGCAGAATGAACTTAGACCAAGTTCAAATGTGTTTTCTATACCAGCTTGTGCCTGTCACGTCAGCAGGTGTTTGTAATTAAGGTAATTGCGTGACAATACGAAGTTGGAGGAGATTTTTTGTTAAAGTTGCGTTAGCTGGCTTTTAAACCCTGATCTCCCACATGAAAGTCCATGACACAGACCATTAGACCAATGGAGCTGTGGCAGAAGGTCGTAAGGTGGTGGCAGGGGTTGGTTTGTATGTGTGCAGAAAGAGGCTACATTGCCAATACAATTATTGACACAAAAATGCATAATATTACAACAATAGAGCAGTATTAAGACAATATTGTAGTAAAACATCAAAATACAATCATATTAATATTGTAAATACTGAACTATTGAGATTAAATACAAAAAAACTATGGTGCAGTACCAAGTTGAGTACAGCTGGGGGCAGTATTGGACCATTACAAGGCCCCAATGACTCCCATTATATGAATTTGGAATAAAGTTTAAACATTAATATTTCAAAAACTACAAATTGTTCAGGTACCAAAAGGCATAGCAATCATTTGGCACAGGGCCTTTACAGAAATAAATTACAATGGCAGCTCTAGGACAAAGTATGAAAGAGGAGAAGCATGGCAAAGTTGAGATGACTTGGATGGGAAACGAATCACAATAGTGTGCATTGCATTGGCAATGCACAATGAATATCTTCAGTCCAGTTTATTTGTACAGTATATAACAGCAAGTCATCTCAGTGCACTTTTACAAAGAAAAGATCTAAATAATCATTGTAAAATAAAATCCATCCAGAAGATCTACACTCACCGGCCACTTTATTAGGTACACAACGCTAGTAACGGGTTGGACCCCCTTTTGCCTTCAGAACTGCCTCAATTCTTCGTGGCATAGAT